ATGCCAACAAATTGGACAACAGAGAAGAAATGGATGAATTCCTAGAAATATAAAACCTACCAAGATTGATTCATGCTGAAATATAGAAAATCTGAACAGACCTATTACTACTAAGGAGATTGAATCAGTAATCCAAAACCTCCCAACAAACAGAAGACCAGGACCAGATGGCTTCCCTGGGGAATTATACCTATAACATTCAAAGAAGAATTAATACCAACCCTTCTCAAATTCTTCCAAAAAGTAGAAGAGGAGGGAACTCTTCCTAAGTCATTTTATGAGGCCAGGATTCCCCCGATACCAAACCCAGACAAGGATGTTAAAAGAAAAGAAAATTACAATATTCCTGAGGAACACAGATGCAAAAATCCTCAACAAAACATTAGCAAACTGAATTCAACAATACATTAAAATAATTATCCACTACAATCAAGTGGAATTTATTCCAGGGATGCAAGGATGGTTCAGCATCTGCAAATCAGTCAATGTGATACATCACATTAACAAAATGAAGGGTAAAAATCATATGATCATCTCAATAGATGCAGAAAAAGCATTTGAGAAAATTCAACATCCACTTATGATGAAAACTCTCAACAAAGAGGGTATATGGGGCCAGCCCAGTGGCGCAAGCAGTTAAGTGCGCATGCTCCACCACGGCAGCCCGAGGTTCGCGGGTTCGGATCCCGGGCACTCACCGATGCACTGCTTGTCAAGCCATGCTGTGGCGGCGTCCCATATAAAGTGGAGGAAGATGGGTACAGATGTTAGCCCATGGCCAGTCTTCCTCAGCAAAAAAAAAAAAAAAAAGAGGAGGATTGGCAGATGTTAGCACAGGGCTGATCTTCCTCACACACACACAAAAAAAACACAAAGAGGGTATAGAGAGAATGTACTTCAACATGATAAAGGCCATACATGACAAGCCCACAACTAGCATCATACTCAACAATGAAAAGCTGAAAGCTTTTCCTTTAAGATCAGGAACAAGACAAAGATGCCCACTATCATCACTTTTAAAAACTTAGTATTGGAAGTCCTAGCCAGAGCAATTAGGCAAAAAAAGAAATAAAAGGCATCTAAATTGGAAAGGTAGAAGCAAAACTGTCAGTATTTGCAGATTACATGATATATTATAAAACCCTAAATACTCTATCAAAAAACTGTTAGAACTAATAAATGAATTCAGTAAAGTTGCAGGATACAAAATCAATACACAAAAATCTATTACTTTTCTATACACTAATAATGAAATATCAGAAAAAAAATTTTTAAATCCCATTTACAACTGGATCAAAAATAATAAAATACCTAGGAATAAATTTAACCAAGGAAGTGAAAGACTTATATACTGACAACTACAAGATTTAATGAAACTGAAGAAGACACAAATAAATGGAAAGATATTCTGTGTTCATGGATTGGAAGGATCAATGTTGTTAAAATGTCCATACTACCCAAAGCAATCTACAGATTTGATGTAGATTGAAAAATCTACAATTTTTGTGGAGAAAAAAAGGACTTTATTGATAAATAGGTTACAACGAAATAAAAAGAGTGATGGGTTTCTTGGGGAATAAAAGCTCAAGTAGAATCTCGGTCTTTCTCTACTCCACCTCTAGTTCTCAGCTTCTGTCTTCTTATTGGCCATTTTGGACAACAAGACCTTAGTGGGCATGCAAGGCCTTCTCGGGTCCCTGGGGGCCTCTGTCTTCCTATCCCTATCAAAATTCCAATAGGATTTTTCAGAGAAATAGAATAAATAATCCTAAAATTTGTATGGAGCCACAAAAAACCCAAATAGCCAAAACAATCTTGAGAAAGAACAAAGCTAGAGGCATCACACTCCGTGATTTCAAACTATATTACAAAGCTCTAGTATTCAAAACAATATAGATAAACGGAACAGAATTGAGAGCCCAGAAATAAAACCACACATATATGATCAATTAATTTTTGGCAAATTAACCAAGAATAAACCACGGATAAAGGATAGTCTCTTCAATAAATGATGTTGGGAAACCTAGACAGCCACATGCAAAAGAATGAAACTTGACCACTATCTTACACACAAAAATTAACTCAAAATGGATTAAAGACTTGAATAAGACCAGAAACTATAAAACTCCTGGAAGAAAACATAGGCAGTCAGCAAACTGACATTGGTCTTGACAATGATTTTTTTAATCTGACACCAAAAGTAAAAATAAACAAGTGCGACTACATCAAACTAAAAAGCTTCTGCACAGTAGAGGAAACCTTCAACAAAATTAAAAGGCAACCTACTGAATGGAAGAAAATATTTGCAAGTCGTATATCCAACAAGGGATTGATATCCAAAATATATAAGCAACCCATACAACTCAATAGCAAAAAAAACAAACAATCCAATTAAAAAATGGGCAGAAGATCTGACTAGATATTTTTCTGAAGAAGACATATAGATGGCCAACAAGTACATGAATCGATGCTCAATATCAGTAATCACCAGAGACATGTAATCAAAACCTCAGTTACATATCACCTCACGCCTGTCAGAATGCCTATTATCAGAAAGATAAGAAATAAGTTTTGCTGAGGATGTGGAGTAAAGGAAACATTTGTGTACTGTTGGTTGGAATGTAAACTGGTGCAGCCACTATGGAAAACAGTATGGAGATTCCTCAAAAAATTAAAAAAAAACTATATGATACAAAAATTCCACTTTTGGGTATTTATCCAAAGAAAACAAAACACTAACTTGAAAAGATATCTGCACCCCCATTTTCTTTGCAGCTTTATTTACAATAGCCAAGATATGGAAACAACCTAAGTGTCCATCAATGGATGAATGGATAAAGCAATTGTGGTATACGTATACTATGGATTATTATTCAGCCATAAAAAAGAATGACATCTTGCAAGTGTTGACAACATGGATGGTCCTTGAGGTCATTATGCTAAATGAAATCAATCAGAGAGAGAAAAACAAATATCATATGATGTCTCTTATAATAGTCTAAAAAAAAATTAAGCTCATAGATACAGAGAAGAGATTGGTGGTCGCCAGCAGAAGGGGGTGGTGCATGTGAACCATTTTGTTTCTTTTGTTATAGTTTAAATAAACTGTTAATAAAAAAGAAAAAAAACTATATTTATAGTCACATAGTTTAATCAGTTGTTACTTTTCTACAATCACTAAGAATTGATACTTGAGGTTCCTTGTGAAATGCATTGACCCAATATAGTGGTTATATTCATTTCTGCTGTATGAATTTTGAAAACATTTTTTGGTTGTTTTGCATAGGAAAGTAGCATACAAAGTATATTGGAGGGATAGTTCTAAACGACCTTATGCTGTTCTCTGAGAAGCTAAATATCAAACTATAAACAGGAAAATTAAATCACTCACACAAAAGTCTTCAGAGATCAGGTTAGTATGTAAATTACATCTAGTCAAAGGATGAGAGGAAATGCTTTCTAGTTAAATAGAAACAGATTCAAAGAAGATAAGTCTTACTTGAAGAGACTTTTTGTTTTGTTTTGTTTCAGAGATTATTTATTTATTTTTTGGTGAGGAAGATTGACCCTGAGCTAACATCTGTTGCCAATCTTCCTCTTTTTGCTTGAGGAAGATTGTCGCTGAGCTAACATTGTGCCAGTCTTCCTCTATTTTGTATGTGGGACACTGCCACAGCATGGCTTGATGAGTGGTGTGCAGGTCCACGCCTGGGATCTGAACCCACGAACCCCCAGGCCGCTAAAGCAGAGTGCACAAACTTAACCACTACGCCACCGGGCCGGCCCCTGTTTTAGAGATTATTTTAAATAACCCATGACTGACATTAATGGTGATAATAATGAACGTAAAATTCAGGCTTACTCAGTGAGATATTCAGGATTACTGATAGTAGCAGAAAGTGCCAGAAAGGGACACCGAATCATAACGAGTAGATGTTCCCAAACTTCTGCTCCAATTTCTCCCCCAAGACAGTGAACCTGGCAATGTGGTTAAATAGACTCAGTGTAAAATCAGTTACCATTTTTTCCAAAATGTTAATAGATTATGGTACCAGAACTTATTATTCCTTTCTCTCCCCACATTCAGTAATGTTCATTCACCCACTGACAAAGTTAGTCAAACAAATCAACACGATTTTGAGAGGAACTAAAGTGGATTTCAATTTACCAATAATGGATTATTTACCAATATTGTATCGAGAGATGACTTGCTTTATCATGCATTTTAATAGCTGAACTATAATACAGATTATTACACGCCATGGTAATAACACGCAAAAGCAAAAACAAACGAACAAAAGAACACATTTTGTAACTGTTATTTATAAGTGAAATAATAGCTAAACTACAGATTGTCATAAAAAAGATAATAAAAGAAAAATCTCTATAAAAATAAAACATTTACTCATGTGTCACTAATCCCAGCACTGAAATACAGATAAAAATGTTTATAAAATAAATTAATTTGAAATAAATTGACCACTCCAGGCTTCAGTCTGTAAATGTACATAAGAGCACTTATTCTACACGAGACAGAAATCTAGAGAAAGCCCAGGGTGTAAATGGTGAGTGTAAATGGGGCAAGATGGGTGCAGTGACTAGCTCATTACTTATTAGTTTGCCACAATGACATGTGAAATTATCAATAATATATGAAAGCAAGGACAACTTTACAAGACTTAATTTTATATAATTTCTGTAAAATTCTCAACTAATAACAAACTTTTATATAGTAAAATTAGATCCTTATGTATATTATACTCTATATTTAATAGAATTTAAAAAATTGAAAAAGCCAAATAATTTCAAAAGTCCTATGTTTATATTTTATTTCTGATTTTTACTGAAGGATTTCTCCCTTATAGGTCACTATGAAGCAGACACTGTGGAGAGGTAAAAAGAAGCTTTCAAAGAGCTTTTAGTCAAATAGTAGAAAAAAGAAAAAGAAAAATACATGCAAAGGACATCAGAAATATATTGATAACAGGTCATTTTAATAAAGTACAACAATTATGAGTGTGTGTTTCTTGTGCCAAAGAATGATAAATCAGAGAGGAATGTGGAATTTATACTAATAAAGTGAGAACCTTGTTAGAAGCACTCAGTATTTTAATCAAAGATGCAAAAGATAAGATTTAAAATAATTTTACATAAACAGTTTGCAGCTTTTTAATTCAGTGTTACATTTGAGCACATGTAATCTTATCTTTTTACATGTAGGGATAACTCTGTTTGTCTGTGTTGTATTAAAAGCACAGAAAAGTATATAGCATTATAAAAGTATTAAAAGCCCAGAAAACAGAAGCAGGCTGCCTGCCTTCTAACCCTACCTCTGCCACTTAACATGGGGTGAATTGGGGAAGTTAATCTCTCTTTGCCTCGATTCAGTAGCCATAATAATAGTAACTACTTCATAGGTTTTTTCTGAAGAGTAAATGGCTTTATAGCTGGAAATCAGTTAGAATAAATATCCATAGTAAACATTAAAATAATGGTAACTATTATAATTTTATGCACAGCAATATGTGTAATATAATTATTTACATCTAAGTCAATCTTTGAATTCTTTTTTAACCTTTGTTTTATTGTGAAATATAACATTCAGTAACTTGTAAAAATGTAGATTTCGTATTAACAAATTATCGCTCAGATTAACCAGATAAAGCAAACATCCCTATAAATCAAGTTAAATAGTTCCAGCACCTCAGAAGTCCATATTATAACAGCCTCCTTTGATAGTTTCTATGTTGCATTTTTTTAGTTATGACTGCTTTTTTCATAATACTTCATTATATAGACGTGTGTGCATATTCATAAACAATATAAGTTTATTTTGCCAGTTTAATAAGATTTTGTAACTAGAATTACATGCATGTGTCCTTTTGTGTCTAGCTTCCATTGCTTAATGGTATGATTTGAAGATTATTCTATGTTGTACTCATTTTCATCACTCTATCTATTCTATCATATGAATGTACCACATTTTGTTTATTATTGCTACTTTGATGGACATTTGAGTTGCTGCTATGAACATTTTGTACACGTCTTCTGGTCCACATGTGTGAGAGTTTTTTAATATGTATTTTATA